TCGCAATAATAAGTGATATTCTTTCCATTGATGACAGCTCTGAGTGGACGAGGCTCATAGGAATACAGACCCAGGCTGCTATCTGCATGTGCACCCTCAGAGGGTTCTCTCTGTTTTAAAGGCTGGGTTCTTGTCTGTGAAGTTTGTTTAGGTCATTTGGCTTTTGATGATTAAAAGACACATGAACTTGTATATCTGCATATTGTTATTCTCTCTCTCTCTCTCTCTCTCTCTCTCTCTCTCTCTCTCTCTCATTGTCCTTGGTAGGATCCTAGTCTTTGTCACTCAGGAGGATAGTAGTTTCTGCATGGGTGACAATTCAATGTACCTCTCCTTTCCCCTGTTCCTCTTGGGAGGCACCTTTGTGTTCTGGCAGCTACCCAAGGAGGCCTTGGGGCTGCTGGTTTTCTAGGTAGACCTCCCACGCGGACAGCAGGTGCTGGCTATTCTTCTTGTCCCCAGAGCATGGAAGAAGAGTCAGTTCTCAGTCTGGGTTACTGTGGCAGATGGTTTCCCCATCCTGTCACCTTGGAAACTCCAATACTGTCTTATGGTCAGTTATTTACTTTTCATTTTAAAAAAAAAAAGCAGAAAGGGAAGCACAATGCCATATGACAACAATCTCCAGGTTCAATGTTGACAAGAGAGAACGGTAATTCTAAAAGGAATATAAACAGAAATTATGTGTCATGTTTGCTAAAATGTTTAAATATAATTCCATCGTCCTGATTTTATTCTATTTTACAAACAATTTAGATTTAGCTATTGATGGCTGTTTATTGGACTATTATTTATATCATTCTTTTTTTAAAGTAATTTTTTATTTATTAATTTATTAATTATTTATTAAAGATTTCTGCCTCCTCCCCGCCACCGCCTCCCATTTCCCTCCCCCTCCCCCGGTCAAGTCCCCCTCCCTCGTCAGCCCAAAGAGCAATCTGGGTTCCCTGCCCTGTGGGGAGTCCAAGGACCACCCACCTCCATCCAGGTCTAGTAAGGTGAGCATCCAAACTGCCTAGGCTCCCACAAAGCCAGTACGTGCAGTAGGATCAAAAACCCATTGCCATTGTTCTTGAGTTCTCAGTAGTCCTCATTGTCCGCTATGTTCAGCGAGTCCGGTTTTATCCCAGGCTTTTTCAGACCCGGGCCAGCTGGCCTTGGTGAGTTTCCGATAGAACATCCCCATTGTCTCAGTGTGTGGGTGCACCCCTTGCAGTCCTGAGTTCCTTGCTCGTGCTCTCTCTCCTTCTGCTCCTGATTTGGACCTTGAGATTTCAGTCCGGTGCTCCAGTGTGGGTCTCTGTCTCAGTTTCCTTTCATCTCCTGATGAAGGTTAATATTCAGGAGGATGCCTATGTGTTTGTCTTTGGGTTCTCCTTCTTATTTAGCTTCTCTAGGATCACGAATTATAGGCTCAATGTCCTTTATTATGGCTAGAAACCAATGAGTGAGAACATCCCATTCTCCTCTTTTTGGGTCTGGCTTACCTCACTCAGGATAGTGTTTTCTATTTTTTGTCCATTTGTATGCAAAATTCAAGAAGTTATTGTTTTTTACTGCTGAGTAGTACTCTAATATGTATATATTCCATACTTTCTTCACCCATTCTTCCATTGAAGGGCATCTAGGTTGTTTCCAGGTTCTGGCTATTACAAACAATGCTGCTATGAACATAGTTGAGCAAATACTTTTGTTGTATGCTAGGGCATCTCTTGGGTATATTCCCAAGAGTAGTATTGCTGGGTCCAGGGGTAGGTCATTCTTAATTAACTGTTAGTGTGATAGATTTCTTGGTTTTCTTTCTTCTTGTTTTTTTTTTTTTTTTTTTTTAATTTTCTTTTCAGATAGGGTCCTAAGAGCTTCTGCTGACATGACGCTTGCTGTGTCAGAGCTGGCTTTGGACTCCTCCTGTCTCCTTCCTGAGTGCTGGGATAACAGGCATGTGTCAGCATGCGCAGCATCAAATTGTTTTCTTTTTAATTTGAAATTTGAAATCTATACTTCTTCAAGCTAAGACTTTGTCATGATCAGATCTGTTCAGTGATGACAAACTGATAAACCTTTACCAATAAATTTTTGTCATCTAAATATAAACTGGTTTTTATGTTAGAAATAAACATCTTCTTTCCGTCTAGACCGTATTTCAGGGGGGTCACCTTGCTCAGATTTAGAACTCTGGCAAAACTATCTTAGCTAAAGTCTTGAAAGTTGAGTCTAACTCAGGGGAAAAAAAATCACAGCCTAATGGATGGTTTTCCTCTAGATGAAAAAGCCATGGTCTGTGTGGAAGTTGAGGCCAAGGCTGTTAACTGAGTAACCTTGTGACAAGCCGTACTTCTTGCTGCTTCTTCACTATCTATGAGTCTGATAGAGAGACCATGACAGGAAGTATGGTTAGGGTTGGGGCTTAAGGAAAGGTCACCGTGGCAGCCTTACAGAAAACAAGCAGCTTCCCCAGCCTTGCAGTATGGCCTATGCATGCTGGGAAGACTTGGTGTAGGACCTGTTCCTGGACAAGAACAGAGCTGACACCTGAGAGAACAAGGGAAGAGGCAGTTAGTCCCACCAAAGTCCCTAACTGTGTAATGACAAGAATTGATTTGAATTTCAGGATATAAATGTAAAAGAATGGCCGAGATAATGTTTCATTTAAAATACCAGAATGGAAGGCAACTGAAGAACCAGATTCTTCATGAATCTATATGTGAATCCCGTCTCCTACTGAGTACAGAGATCTTTCAGCTGTGGTTTCCAGCCCCTCATTGCTGAGAATTTCTTTGTGTTAAGCTCTTGTCTGCATCTGCACAGGGCCATGCATCACTGACTAGCCAAGTGTGTCAATCACTGGGTAATAGCGATACTGCTGCTGAGTGTTGGGGTTTCCCCTGATAGTTGCTGCGGTTTGGCAAGGGCCTGCTTCCATACTCTTAGTCATTGCTGTGTTGACCTTGACGAGAGTGGTGTCAGAGTGCTTGAGGAAAACACCAAGCACTCCGTGGCCAAAGCACTGCTCGGAACTGACTGATAGAAACAGGATGCAGCTGAGTCTCAGCAATCTTTGAGTTGACGTTCATACAACGACGACTTTTCACATCTTTAAAACTTAGAGGTGCTTTATGTAGCTTTTAGGCTGTTCACATCAGTCTAACTGCTGAAATTCCTTGGTTTGATTCAAGAACCTGTTCGAGGAATGCTATTTGGCAGTCTCAAAGCACAGCTGCCTGCTCTCTGCACCCGTCTGATAGCGGTGAAGCCATGGTTCTGGTGTCTTACCTATGACCCGTTTGTCCATTCTGGGCCTTCATCCCCCATTGAATCCACTCACTCTGTGGAGCTGAATGGAAGAGGTCTTCCCACACATCAAGCAATTACATTTCTCTTCACAAGTAGAAAATGTTTGCAACTATCTTTATTATATTCAGAGTGGGTTTTCTTGGATTCATGCCCAGGAAGTTTATTTTTATGTGGAGTAGGCCGATTTTCTAATTTTCTGTACATTTCTTCATAGCATTTACCAAACTGGTTATCTTTGCTGGAAAGTTTAGCTGGGTTAGGGTCTGCCTAAATGCAGCAGAACCTGAACATGCCTGTTATCTGGAATTCTTTAATATCTTTATCACTTCCTCTTAGAGAAGTGGCTTTCTTACTACCCTCACTGAAACTGTCTTGGGAATAGTGTTTTGAATTCTCTAACCCGCAAACTGTTCTGGCAAAGTCTATTATTTATTTTTGTAGTTTAAAGTTTTTGCATTGTGACTTCATTGTATCATCTTATTATGGTAATTTGGAGCCTTGATATCACTCCAATGAGATGCTTATTTCCTTCTTGCTAAAGTAGGCTTGCCTTGCCAACCTCCCCATATGTGGTGTGGGTAATGGACTGGAATTGGCATTGTGGTAGGAAATAAAATATTTATTTAAAGGCTACTAATATGAATATTAGATGAATATTAATTCCTAAGTTAAGTTGATAAGTTTCTTCATCTTAAGAACACACATACACACACATACATACACACACACATGACATTAAGTAACTATACATTATTTCTGTTAGCTAGTTGATTACAGGGTCCACTTGTGTGTCTCAGAAAAATGAATGGCCTTACATCCATTCTTGGCTACTATTCAGCTATAAACACTAATGGATGACTAATGTCCACATTTAGGTGTATCTCAAGTGCCACAGGAATTCAAAAGCAGTCTCAAAGGTTAATATGTCAAGCATGTAAGTGTTTATTAACAATGCATTCTGGCGGTAGAGAATAGATTAGTAGCTATTGGAGTTAGGGATAGTGGTAGCAGGGTGGAGTGGGTTTGTCTGCGGTCATAAGGAGGGTATAAATAACATTTTCCTGGTGAAATAATAGATTGGATCTTGATTGTGGTGGTCAGTGAAACAACACATATGATAAAGTGGTAGAGAACTAGAACACATACTTTAACATGCCAATTTTATGGCTTTTATATTGTAGTAAAATTATGCAAAATATAACCATTGAGGGGGATGGATGAAAAGCGTACGACGATACTATTTTTATACTTCATATGAATTTATAATTATTTCCATACTTTTTTCCAAACGAATCAGTGCTTATAAGGAATCTAAGAAAAGCAAATCTTGCCTTACAAATGATGGTAATAAATCCAGTAATTGATTTTCAGAGCTCGAAAGAGGTAATAATATTCACACATAAATGCCAGAAAGATATTGCAACCCTATCCTTTCAAAGACACTGTTTATAGCGTCTATTCTTGGTAGCAATCTCATTATTTTCAATAACTTATTAACTACCCTAGGCACACTGTAACAAGGCATTTGTTGGCTTGAAATAATGTGTGCGATCTTCCATACTTCATATTTGCCGTGTAGAAAGAGCTGTGCCGGCTGCACCTCAGCAGCCTATAAAACAAGTCAGTTTCTGTTTTTGAACTGACGTCTCTTCGCTGAAATTCCTTCAGGATGAAATTTTTTTAAAAAATTAGCAGCTGTCCCCGACATGGTGTTCTGGTGCTTCGTGGAGGTTGGCCGGGTGGCCTGCGTCTCATTTGGGCCTCATGCTGGAAAGCTGGTCACGATTGTCGATGTTATTGATCAGAACCGGGCTCTGGTGGATGGACCCTGCACTCGGGTGAGGAGACAGGCCATGCCTTTCAAATGCATGCAGCTCGCTGACTTCATCCTCAAGTTCCCACACAGTGTCCGACAGAAGTATGTACGAAAAGCTTGGGAGAAGGCCGATATCAATACGAAATGGGCAACCACAAGATGGGCCAAGAAGATTGATGCCAGGGAAAGGAAAGCCAAGATGACAGATTTTGATTGTTTCAAAGTCATGAAGGCAAAGAAAATGAGGAACAGAATCATCAAGACTGAAGTCAAGAAACTACAGAGAGCAGCTATCCTGAAAGCCTCTCCCAAAAAGGCGCCTGCTGCAGCAGTTGCTGCTAAGGGTAAAGTTCCACCCAAGAAGGCGACAGGACCCGCCAAGAAGGCTGCAGGCCAGAAGGCTTCATGCCAGAAGGCAGTACCTCCCGCTAAAGGTCAGAAGGGTCAGAAGACCCTAGCCCAGAAAGTACCTTCTTCAAAGGCAGCTGGCAAGAAAGCATGAGGCTGTACAAAGGAATAAAGGTTTTTTGACACATTGGCAAAAAAAAAAAAAAAAAAAAAATTAGCAGCTCTTTTTGAGAATCCATTGATGTAAAATTATGTGTTCTTAACATGCAGAAGTTGATGTTTTGTATTTGTGTGTGTACACCATGAAAAGCTCCTGGAATCAAGCTAATAAACATACCCATCCATAGTTCTCTTTTGTGCTCCCATGTACATGGTCTTAACCTTTTCATCCTAAGATGTTACCATCGTAATGAAACTTACTTATTTTCTACTTGATACTTTATTAAACATTCAATGTGGATTCAGGCCTTGGAACTAGATAAGAGATGTATGCATCTCAACTTATACATGTCAAACGACCCAATAAAACCTTAAAGAAATAAACCTAAACATATTATGTCAGAATGACGTCAAATGGTCACCCACAAATTCAAGTATCAAAAGAAGAGATTTATATTGTATTGATCATCGGAGTTTGTCAAGTGACAGCTCCTGAGGGCACATACTCTCTGTGCACATTCTAGCTCTTCTCTTTGCATTCCTCCAGTGCTGCTAAAGTGCACATAATCAGAACAAGATCCTAGAGAAGGCAGAAGAAATGGTGTATTCTCTCCATCCTCCTTAGATGAAGAACGCACGATGCTTAGAGGGATGCCACATGTGTGTATTAATTTCTGTATCTTTCACTCCCCAGAGTTTAATATTTACTTCTGATAATGTAGTATGTTCCAAAACAACTGGAAACTGAAAATCCAGGACTTAGTAGAGGCAGAGAGAACAGCATCAATAAAGAGTAGACTTCTAATATAATTTGATTTAAAGGCCAGCAAGGAAAGAAGAAAAATGACTTTAGCTCAAATGACCTAAAGTGTTTTCTTGCCGAACTCAGGATATTCAGTTGAAAGAACATTGAGAAGTTGGGTGTGCTCTCATAGTTTATTAGAAATGAGAGGGGCCTCTCGTCTCTGGGGGTGGGAATGTGAAAGCGTGCACCACTCTGAATTCTCTTCCTCAGGCCATGATGGTGTCGGCATTATGGTGTTGACTCTGCACCCATGTGTGTGATCTCCTGGGAGTTTCAGTTTCATTGTATAAAACCAAATATATTACACGATAACTTTTCATATTAATAAAGTGTTTCTCATGAAGTTCTTTTAAACATGAACTCATTTGGGGTGTGAAAGTAGATTTTCATACATCATTAGCAACCTGACAGATTCTGGAAATAGAAAAATATAAAGCTGACGTGTCAGGAAGTAATACAGTTGGAGATCCATCAAACGTGACGCGAGTTTGCCAGGAAGCTTTAGATGAATTAAGCAGAAAATAACTCAGTTTATAAGCCATTTAGCAGCGACATATCAATTATTTATACTTGCACAGTATCTGTAAATTCTTTTACTGCTATTATACAAAATAACTGGAAAGATCCGTGAAAGAGGAAACAAATGTCTCTCTTTCCCTTCCTAATGAAAATTCCGGAAAGATTAGTCGGCCCATGTTCTTCCTTGCCTCTTTGGTTTTTGAGACTGGGTCTTTTGAAAAACAGTTTTTGGCATAGCTTTCATTTATTCTTTGACAGCTTCTTACTTATATACAATGCATCTTGATTATACCCCCCCACCCCCCCCACCCCCAGTTCTCCACTCTCATTCTTTCTGGACCTCTCCTCCCCATTACCCCCTTCTCCCACATTTTTGGTACTGTTTTCCCCTGTAAACGACTGATTCCAGTTAGTGCTGTCTGCTGGAATGCTGAATGACCTTGCTGCTTGACCTTGTACCGGTAACCATATATGCAGTTTTGTAGGCAGAGACTGTTCATTAGTTTCCTGGTTGTCCAGACCTGAATAATAACACAGAAACTAGATTAATTACAACACTGTTTGGCCAATAGGTTAGGTATACTTCTAGCTAACTCTTTCATCTTAAATTAACCCATTTTTATTAATCATTGTATTGCCATGAGGCTCTGACCTAGCGTTAAGGTTTTGACTGGCAGTGGCGTCTTTCTCCTTTGGCAGCTACATGGCGTGTCCTCGACTCTGTCTACTTTCTCTCAATATCTCTGTTTGGAGTTCCCGCCTGACTCTACTAAGCCATTGGCTGAAACAGCTTCTTCAGTAACCATTGGTAATGAAACATATTCATAGCATACAGAGGGGAATCCCACGTGTGAGTTGAGTCCATTAGTACAGTGGCCACATTATATCCAGCATTCCACAGTACTGCCTCCCACCTTCCAGCTCTTAGATTCTCTCTGCCCACTCTTCCGCAGTGTTCCCTAAGTCTTGGAATGGGGGCTGATGGAAGGACGAGCACTCAACAGTCACTGCTTTTTAGCACTTCGCCTAGCTGTGAGTTGATACAGTCTTACTGCACAGCCTAGGCTAGCTTCAGTCCCCAGCTATTCCTCCTTCCGCCTCCAGGTGCTAGAATTACGTAGGCCTGGCTTTCCCCGCACGTCGATCCTTTTCTGTCTTCTCTGTCAGGTCAGTTTGGGTTCTGTCTCACCAGACGGTAAAGCTACACAGGAAGTTCTCTCCTCATAAGCATTTTTAGTCCTCGTGTCTGAAAGCTCATAGTCTTATCTGTACTGATATTTTTGACATTTTCCTCCTGATTCCACTTGACACCATGTCGTCTTGGAAACTTTGCTTTAAATCTCAAAGATCATTTTTTTTTTTAATTTGTCAGTGACTTCTCTTTCCAAAAATTCCATCCTTAAACTTCATATTTTCCTATGTTTTAAATTATAATCTAGTATTCTTATCTCAAATATGTCTCTGTAGCTCCTCTGTCTCTTCTGCAAGTATAGGTCTTGTTTCCAAATCTGAATATTTTACTTTCCTCAGAAATCTCGCTATTTACCTTCTCCTATACCCACATTTCCCAGGTAGATGACCATAATCTGTCTATGCCCTGTTCTCAATATTAACATGGCAAATTAATAACATCATTTATGTCCTTTTCTCTTACCATCTTTGTTAAAACCCTCAAATTTTCCCCTCTGTTGACTCACAATTTAATGTACCTTAGTTCTTCATTTTTCCTCCTTAGTCTTTTAAAATACACAGTTTCTCATACTCTCAGGTCTTTATAGAGTAGGGAGAAGATTTAGATAAGGAAAAGAGACCTCTACTTGACAAAAATGAATGAGTTCGCAGGCCCGCCTTGGAAAAGTCCTCATGCGAGAACGTCGTGAAGATGTAGTGGTTGATAGAGATGGACAGCTGCTTCCACTTTTTACTGCTCTGGGCCTTTAGTCCACATGTCCATATTCTCCGTTATCATACTGCAGCACCTTCAGACAGCCCAGGATTCCATTCCTGTGATAGGAGGTGAACGCTTGAATGGTGGTGTTTGTTTGTTTGCTTGCTTATTACCTGTCTGTCTGTCTGTTTGTGTATTTATTTATTTATTTATTTCAAGATGGGGTTACTCAGTAGCTATGGAGCCAGCCCTGGAACTCACTCTGTAGATCAGGTTGGCCTCGAACTCACAGAGATGCACTTGTCTCTGTCTCCGAGTGCTGGGATTAAAGGCATGCAACACTACTGCCTGACTGGATGTTGTTCTTGACTAAGTATATGAACATTGAAAGTGAATGTCTGTTAAATCTATCCTCCTGCTGCTTCCGCAGGTCCTCAGGGGTCATCTCGCCCTTGAGTTTGTCAAGAAGTGCCCGGTGGAAGTGTCCTCTGCAGATCACTTGTGTCCCCACTGCGTTTCTTTGGCCTTACAGTCTACTCTCCTTACAGTCTACTCTCCTTACAGTCTACTCTCCTCACAGTCTACTCTCCTCACAGTCTACTCTCCTCACAGTCTACTCTCCTCACAGTCTACTCTCCTCACAGTCTACTCTCCTCACAGTCTACTCTCCTCACAGTCTACTCTCCTCACAGTCTACTCTCCTCACAGTCTACTCTCCTCACAGTCTACTCTCCTCACAGTCTACTCTCCTCACAGTCTACTCTCCTCACAGTCTACTCTCCTCACAGTCTACTCTCCTCACAGTCTACTCTCCTCACAGTCTACTCTCCTCACAGTCTACTCTCCTCACAGTCTACTCTCCTCACAGTCTACTCTCCTCACAGTGTACTCTCCTCACAGTCTACTCTCCTCACAGTGTACTCTCCTCACAGTCTACTCTCCTCACAGTCTACTCTCCTCACAGTCTACTCTCCTCACAGTCTACTCTCCTCACAGTCTACTCTCCTTACAGTCTACTCTCCTTAGAGTCTACTCTCCTTACAGTCTACTCTCCTCACAGTCTACTCTCCTTAGTTTTACTTTCCTTATCTATGTTAGAATTTATCTTTTAAAAAGAAAATCTCTCCTCTAACTAATATTTCTTAAGATGCTTTATATTGCATTATCACTCTGTATTCTGAACACATAAACTCTCAATTTCAGCATCCCCTTGCATTTTTGAGACCTTCATCCTAACGTGTACCATCACATGCTCTAGATTCCCTCTCTTGGATCTCATCCGTCTAGTGTGAAGTTCTCTCTGCTTATCCCCAAACCTCGTTACTGGTTTTTTTCAGAAGTAGTTTTTTTTATTCTTGTTATTATCGATCATGAATGTATTGACAGCATAGAGGATCAGGTGAAGATGCCGAGACTGTCTGCTACCATCTTAGTGCCTTTGACAACACAGCATCTACATGGTCCTAGGCTCTTGGTTGTTTCTAGGTGCAGCTCGTATTATCTAGCTGAACCAATCTGAGAGTATAGCTGTCTGATTATAGTTTCTGTTGCTAGCAATATAATAACACAGACTGGGTAAGTTACAGGGGTTCGTTTGCCTTAATTCTACTCCAAGGGCAAGTTACTGAATCTAAAGATAGCCTCCTTGCTGGCAAAGCACCGAGGTGGTACAGGGCAGGTTGCATGGTGAGAGGTAAGGAGGGAGATTGCTTAGCAAAACTGGCCTGTATAATTATTCATACTTCAGATAATCTGTTGTAATAAGGAGCGGCGGGGCTGTGTC